GCCCCTGGTGGTCAGTGCCCATCATAGTGACCTGTCATTCGCTGTTGGGTTGCCTTTTATGTAGGATAGGATAGGATAGGATAGGATAGGACGTATGTAGTTGTTGGTTTATTTTGGTTAACCCTAACCCGAGGATATTTTTTCATTGATTTTTAGAGAGAGTGGAAGAGAGAGGGAAAGACAGAGAGGAGCATCGATGTGAGAGAAACACACCAACGGGTTGCCTCCTGCACAAGCCCGGACCAGGGCCTGTGAGGGAGGAGTCTGCAAACAAGGTACATGCCCTTGACCGGAATCGAACGCAGGACTCTTTGGTCTGCAGGCTGATGTTCCATCCACTGAGCCACACGGCTAGGGCGAGATGAGGTCTTCATTAAGCTAGCTGCTCAGCGAAGCCCGTCCACCTCTCGGTGTGTGCCTGTCTGAACGCCCCCCATTATCAGTGAGCGGCCCCTGGTGACCCAGAGCGGAAGCCAGGAGAAACCTGTTACCGCCCCCTCTCCTCTCTGCTCACAGCCCCTCCTCCCTGCTCACAGCCCCTCCTCCCTGCTCCCAGCCCCTCCTCCCTGCTCCCAGCCCCTCCTCCCTGCTCCCAGCCCCACGCAATCCTGTCCCTGAGTGGCATCCCTCCTCATTGGCCTCGTGAGGCTCCTTCCAGTCTAGCCCGCCCTGCAGCCGGAATAATTCATCCGAAACCAACCCAGCTCTCGCTGGAACCCTGTGCCTCCCAACCCTCAGAGGCTGTCCCGGCTCCTGGTGCCGGAGCTGTGCCTCCTGTCGGCTCCCCATCCTTAGCCCTGAGCCTTCTCCTCCAGCCTCCAAAGACTCTTTCCCTTTCTTCTTGGTGCCCTCCTGACACTTCTAGAACAATCCACACACGGGGGAGGCAGTCTGCCAGGCTGGAGTCTCCTAGTTCCCAGCTGTGTTACCTCCTGCCATAGCCGCCCCCCTGGCTGCACTGCTGCTCCTGTGGTGACAGCCTCGTCTCTGAACTGGGTGCTCGTGGTTTTGTCCGTGTCACTCGGAGGGAGGGCTTGGTGCACACCGGCCTGTAGGAGCTTGTGGCTCGTTACAGCGGCGCCACCGAGCGCCATCAGCGAGGACACTGCGCCGCGGCCTGTCCAGTCCCGTCCGTGTCACAGGAGGCGGCCTTAGGAAGCCAGTGCACACAGCTGCTGTGGGGAGCACAGGCCACGGTTGTGTACGTGCTGGTGGGAACTGTGTGACCGCAGTGCCCTCTCTCCGTCGTCCTCTCTCGGCAGGCTGTCCCGTTTTCCATCAGAAGCGGGGCTCGCGTTCGAGGCCTCCGTTGGTGGGCAGTGCTGTGTGACCGGGGACTCCTCGCCCTGTGACACTGCCATGTGGTTGTCTTTCCAGGTTCACATCGAGATCCACTGAGGACTCCGGCCGGCCGCACAGGCGTCCGCGGCCCCGCAGCAGACGCAGCATGAGGGACGGCACAGGGACCCTGGGCACCGGCCTCGCCAAAGAGCCGCGCGGGGACTCGGCCAAGCGACCGTGCAGCCTGCGAGCACGGGAGAGCCCGCGCCCACCGGGCGCCCGTCCCTGGGCGGAGGCGCCTGCGGGGGATGACCACGGAAACGCACAGAACGAGACGGTGTCGCTGGAAACGACGAGTGCCCCGCGCGAGGCCTGGCTTCCCGGCGGCACCGAAGTGCTTGCATGTTTGACAGAATCACTGAGAAGAAATTGGGCTGCCGCGGTGGCTCCGTCCTTCGGGCCTGCAGAGGAGCGCCTCGCGGGGGTGCCCTGTGGTGTCGGGGCGGCCCGGGTGAGGGACTGGCTGGAAGGGGCCCGGGCCTCCAGCAGCCACCGAGGCCGGTGCCGCAGGGGAGAGCTCGGGGGGCCAGGACTGCCACGCGGCCCGCGGTCAGGAGCGGGCGTCTCTGCGGGGGCACCAGGGGCCCTCCCGGAGCGGAGAGTGTCTGCGTGGGAGCCGCCTGGCCGGCCCGAAGTGCTCCCGAGCGATGGCAGTGCGCGTCCCCGGGCGCACAGCGGGGCGCGGGGAGGAGCTGCCCCCCGCACCCCGGACCTCCGCGGACCTGCCGCCGGCCCCTGGGCCCTGCGGGCTTGTGACGCAGCCACGCCGGTCTGCCGCGGTGGCGGCCCAGGCTGCACAATAAAGTAGTGAGGTTCATTTACAGGCCGTGCTAGAATGATTTCCTCCCACTCTGCCTGGTTTCTGTCCTGACCTCAGCGAGCGGGACTGGAACTCGTGGAAAGCTGGTGGACGTGGAAGGACATTACTGATCGTGTTTTTAATTTGCTTGAAAGCCGTTCAGGATTGGGAGACCATTTCGGTGAGAACAGGATCATAACCTGCCTAGATGTCAGATTAGACTGTAAAGATGTGATTTAAAGTTCCTTACAAACCATCACCCGTCCTGGCTCCTGTCCCAGACGCCGTCTCCCTGGCCAGCTGACCATCTCCAGGATGCTGTGTTGATGATGTGCTGTTATCCTTGCTGCATTTTTGTAGAATCATTGTGGTCGGAGAAAAACTTGATTTCTTTTCTCGCCTTCCTTTCCTCCTGCAATGAAATGTTAGCGGAGGCCCTTACGGTGAAAGCTGCAATATCAAGCTCACCTTTAGAATAAACCTTTCTTCAGCCGGGACCCTGGCAGCGTCCCTGAACTGGAAGCGAGCGTGAGACCCCGCAGAGAGGCAGCTGTGGGTCCCTGAGGCGGGCCGGCAGCTCCAGTTTTCCTGCGGCCACTCCTGCCTTGTGTGTTGATAACTTGGACAGAGGTCACCGAGGAGCGTACATTTGTAAGGATGATGACAGCCGTTTCCGGGTGACAGATTGCATAGACCAGTCTGTATTGTGTGCTAGGTCACCATGCCATGTGCTCTCTCAGTGTTCTGGGGAAATGAGAAATAAAGTCTGCTCTTTAGCACAGTAAGTGTCTGACTCTGTGCGTACAGTCTCGGTTCACCTTGTCTTCTCATTGATGCTGCCTCCTCGTGCGTAAAGTCTGTCAGCGCGGTGGCCAGGCTGCGGCCAGGGCAGAGCTCGGAATCCATGGGAAGCTCCTGGGCGCGCAGCCTCCCGCCTCCTGGGATGGGTGGAATCTGGGCTGTGTGGTCCTTGGGGTGGAGCTCCGAGCCCCAAAGTGAGAGTCCTCGGGAGGGAACAGTCGCCAGCCGGTCCGAAAGGACAGTGTCTGATTGAGCAATTCAGGCCCGGCCGGCAGATACTCCGGCGAAGTCACTGTCGGTTGTGAAACGAGACGAGGACATTTCAGTGTTTTAAAACGAGAGCTGGTTGTCAAGCCTTCCTCCCCCGACCCTACCTATTTTATTTTTTTTAAGTCTGCTCCATTGGGATAGAACTTTCCATGACTTATTATTATTTTTTTAAAATTTCTTTTGGTTTATAAATTGCAAGTATATAACTTTGCAACCAATTGCAAAGAGAAAACAGGGATTTCCCATTTGGGTTCAAATGCTAAATGAATACATTTGAAATGTTTTTTCATGTAGTTATATTAGAATAAGGTGTGCTTTTTTTTCTAAAAGCAATTTGGGGACAAAGTTCACAGTAGCTTTTCTTCACATTTATTTCTTAGTCCACAAATCCGCTGCTGAAATGTTTCCCTTTGGTGCTGTGCGGTGTCCAGTTCCTGTCTAGGTGGAATGTTCTGGGTCAGTGAACATTTTTCTTTGTGAGGCAATTAGTACAGAAATAAGATATTCTGATAAATTGTTTCATGGTTGAGTTACAAAAGGAGTCACTGCTTTGAAATATTTCAGTTGTGTCATTTTGGCAGTGAACACGAAGGGAAGCTTGTCTTAAGAAGTTTGTAAGTTTATATGCGTTTCCTTTTTTCCCTCTATGGGTTCTGCTCTTAAGGATTGAACAGCACATTCATTTTAAATTTAGAAACAAAATCTTGGACTTAGTTATTTTCATTTGGAAATCATAACTTCTTTTTTAACATTGGAACCAGCGCTGAAGTCTTGAAGCAATTATGAGGTGCCAGGCCTGCAGAGGATAAAAAGCTGAGGCACTCTGGCAGTGAAATAGGTCATTCTTAGGACCATGGATTTTACAAAGAGGAGCAGATTCTGCTCCCTCATCCCGGGGCCTGGCAGGGAGGGCTTCTTGTCAGGTTGGCGTTTCCATTTCCCTCTCTTCTGTGCGATCGAGGTTTGGCAACACGTGGCTTTAAAAATGCTTAGACATCTTGAGTTTCTGTTAGAATCTGCTTCTCCTTTTCCCTTCTTATTAAGGATTCTCAACAAGAACATCAACCAGACTCCCTTTGGCCCCATGTAGTTTGTGCACAGATGGTCCCTGGCTTTAAGTGCTTCACTTACCATCTTTGGTTTTATGATGTTTCGAAAGTAATAGGTGTTTGAACTTTGCATCTTTTTTAAAAACCTATTTTTTTAAGAAAATATCTTTTTATTGATTTCAAAGAAGAAGGAAGAGAGAGAGCGATAGAAACATCAGTGATGAGAGAGAATCATTTATCGGCTGCCTCCTGCATGCCCCCTACTGGGGATCGAACCTGTAACTGGGGCATGTGCCCTGACCCAGAACCGAACCTCACCGAACCTCACCACCTGATTCACAGGTCGACACTCAACTCCTGAGTCACAGCGGCCAGGCACATTCTGCATCTTGATCTTCTCCTGGGTTAGCAATATGCTTGCGCTGCTCACTCCTAATGCTGGCCAGCGGCAGCCAGCACAGCCCAGGTCAGCCCCCGACCAGGAGTAAACGGCCGGCACTCCGCAGCGCGGTGTTCGTGCATGTTTGACTTCGATGTTTTTAACTTGGGGCGAGTTTATGGAGGTAACCCCGTGCTAGGTCCCGGAGCACTGTGCTTGGGTCGCCTACTCTCTGTACGCCCTGCATTCGTCACGCTGTCTGAAAAGGGCCCAGGTCAGAATCACCCGCTCAGTGTTTTAACATTCGCATCATTTGATATGGAGACTCTTCTACCAAAAAATGACGCTGTTTCCCTGTCAGCTTGCTTTCGGGAGCAACGAGTCTGTCTTTGGACCACAAACTGGTAAAATACTTGGGCTCAGCTTTCAGACCTGACCTTGAGGATGGTGAGTTTTACCTTTCGCTACTCAGATGCTTAACCGACGGTGGCTTTGGGGTGAGCTTGTTGGGAGGCGGAGGGAGGATCCAGAGAAGGCGCGAAAACGCCTCCATCCCTGTCGGTGAGACTCATTCAGGCCACGGGGCCTGCCTGCCAGGCGAGTAAGAGGCGGAGGGCTTACCTCTCACCGAGGCCCCTTCTTTCTCAGAGCAGATAACACGGCGCCTTTCCCGGCTCCCAGGGCTTTGGGCTGTTGGTGTGACCTGGGATTTCTTTTAAACCAGTCCATCCGCACCGGCTCCGATGGAGTCACACTGGTTGCGGAGCTATGGAGATCGGCGTCTTTGCTTTATGTTGGCAGATGAGACGAAATGCATCGGGAGAAGGTGAATTCATTAAATGGCTTTCGGTAACCTGCGCCGATGTCACTGGGCCATATCGCCTCCCTCTGGGACACGGCTGCCTGCATGGTGTGCACTTAGTCACACTAGTAATTCAGGGTAACTTTTTATCTTACTTTATTATTCAAAAGCATTTTTATTGATCAATAACTCAATACATTTTTATTGGTTTCAGAGAGGAAGGGAGAGGGAGAGAGAAACATCAATGATGAGAGAGAATCATTGATTGGCTGCCTCCTGTATGCCCCTCACTGGGGGTCGAGCCCACAACCTGGGCATGTGCCTTGACTGGGTATGGTACTGTGACTTCCTGGTTCATAAGTCAATGCTCAACCACTGAGCCACCCCAGCCGGGGCAATACAGGTTAATTTTAATGTAGCTGTTTAATTTGGGAGAGTAGGTGAGGCATGAAGCCAGCCCCATTAGCCTGTGCATGTGAGGTTCGCTTTGACCACAAGAGGGAGCCATGTGCTCACGTAGGGAGTGTCTTCAGGGAAAGCCTTTAGTTTGTCTGGTTATTTATCCAAAGGAACACAGAAAGCTGGGAGTTAGCTCAGTGTGGTTTGTTAAGCTCAGTGACTGATATAGCAAACCTTACAAGTGGCCAACTCACTCACTGTCCATAGATGGTGCTTTAACACAAGGCGAAGGTGTGGGAACCGTCCAAGCTGGAGTTGTGTCTTATTTTGGAGAGTGACTCTCAGTCTGAAATCACATCTTCACACCGAATCGAGCAGCTGACCCCCAGGATCCCCTGCGGAAGGGTCTGGTCAGTCCTGATTCCGTTCCGGCCACGGGGCCTCGCCCTGAGCCCGCACCCCACGCGCGAGCCCCTTGGAGGCCTGTGTGGGGAATTCTGTGAATGCGTCCGGGTTTCACTCCAGAATCACAACCTGAGATTGTTTTGGTGTCTCATCATGAAACATACTTAAAACGTTGGGATCTTTTTTTCTTTTTTTTTTTAAATATATATTTTATTGATTTTCTTACAGAGAGAAAGGGAGAGGGATAGAAAGCTACAAACATCAATGAGAGAGAAACATCGACCAGCTGCCTCTTGCACACTCCCCACCAGGGATGTGCCCACAACCAATGTACCTGCCCTTGACCAGAATCGAACCCGGGACCCTTCACTCTGCAGGCCGACGCTCTATCCACTGAGCCAAACTGGCTTCGGCTAACACGTTGGGATCTTAAACTCCTGGCAAATGCTATTGTTCTGCAATGTTAATGAATTATTGCTCTTTCCGGTACATTTTTGCAAAAGATCAGGGAATTAAAAAAAAGAAAAAAGATAACTTGTGAGAACAGGGTATGTATAAATAGCTCCCGAGCTATTTAGTTTCTTGGAAATGTTCTGAGCGCCACTTAAGCCTTAGCAGAAAGCCGGCTGTGAGGACAAGCTGCAGGCTTCTCCGCTGGAGGTTTCCGTTCTCGTCTCCGGGGACCAGCTGCGGGGCCGTCGCTCTGTCTCCTGCCTGATGTGGAAAAGCTGCTCAGACTGGAGAGACAGGGACGCCTCACAGCTGGCCCCCAGGCACTGGCGCTGGGTGGTCCACCTGAGCCCTTTAAGGCCGGAAGCCTGCCTTCCACCCACAAGAGGTCTTCACTAGTCCCCGGCGGTGCCAGCCACTTCAGCCTCAGACTTTCCACCCAGGGTCTAGGACTTAAAAAGAAGAGAGAGAAAGAAAAGCCCTCGCTGGTTGGCTCAGTGCAGTGGTGGGCGAACTCACTAGTCAACAGAGCCAAGTATCAGTACAGTTGACATTTCTTTGGAGAGCCAATTTTTTAAATCTCAAACTTCTTCTAACGCCACTTCTTCAAAATAAGACTCGCCCAGGCCGTGGTGTTTTGTGGAAGAGCCACACTCACGGGGCCAAAGAGCCGCATGTGGCTCGTGAGCCGCAGTTTGCGGACCACTGGCTCAGCGAATGGAGCATCGGCCTGCGGGCTGAGTGTCCTGAGTTTGATTCCAATCGAAGACACATGCCCGGGTTTCGGGCTGAACCTTCAGTAGGGTGTGTGCAAAAGGCAACCAATCAATGATTCTCATAATTGATGTTTCTCTCTCTCTCTCCCTCTCCCTTCCTCTCTGACATCAATAAAAATAAATAAATAAATAAAAATGATGGCTCTAACCAGTTTGGCTCAGTAGATAGAGCATTGGCCTGCGGACTCAAGGGTCCCAGGTTTGATTCTGGTCAAGGGCATGTACCTTGGTTGCGGGCACATCCCCAGTAGGCAATGTGCAGGAAGCAGCTGATCGATGTTTCTCAACCATGTTTTTAACTCTCCCTCTCCCTTCCTCTTTGTAAAAAATCAATAAAATATATTTAAAAAAAGAAAAAGGATGGAACTAAGGTTATTAAAACTGTGCCTGAACAATTAGGTACTAATCGCATGTGACTATTTACATTTTAATTGAAACTCAATTAGACCTCAGTTCTCGGACATCTCCCATCGCAAAAAGTTTGCTTCTCAACCCGACAGCCATGTCATGCGGATACCTGTGTGTCACGCTCTCGGGCGACAAAAAAGGAGAATATGTGAGTAGGAGTCACCTGACCCTGTTAACATCTCAGGAGATTGTGTTGTCAATATTTCGTGTGTTTCTTGCTTTTGTTGGTGCTTATTATTATTAAACTTCCATTTTTTTACTGTACATTTCATTTCCTCTTTGTTAAATTTTCATTTACAATTTCATGTCCTTGTGTTTAAAATGTTAACTTACAGCTTAAGCAGTACGTGGGATCTGTGCTGCACATAAGGACGGTTAAAGTGGAATCCTATGAGGATCTGGAACAACTCGTTCGATTTGCATGATTTCTAACGGGAAAGCATGATCCAGTTTTCAAACAGCCTTCCAGAAAGAACTCAGCTAGAGAATCGAGGTCCCACCGCCAATAAAACGTGCAGTTTAGCTCCTCCCTCACTCCTGCCCCTCCAGTGCTCATGACCCCGAGCAGCGCGGCTGGACGAAGGGGCCGGAGACTGTGTCTGTCACTGGGGAGACACTGCTGGTGGCCTGCCACCTCAGGACCTGCAGAGCTTTATTGTGTCAGGAGTACACGGTCCTTACAATGATGTGATCCCATAATCAATAAAGATTTAAAAAAAGTACGTGGTGTTTTTGCATTTAACCCCCTTTAACAGAAGACAGAACACCATTCTCTGGACGTGAGGAAGAAAGATCACGAGTCCCCACATGATGCCCTGTGCGCTTCGGCCGGACAAAAAGGAATTGTCTTCGTCTCGCGTTTCATCTTATTCATGCGGGTGCCCGCCAGGGTTCTGGGGACACAGCCGATAGGACCGCGGGGATCAGTGAGGACCCCCCTGAGGAGCTGGCTGCTCGGGGGAGGCCGAGGAGGCCAGTACTGGCCACCCGCCCACAGCAGAGCGGGGAGCTGCGGGCACAGCACAGGGGGCCCGCAGGGCGTGCATGTCCCAGGCTGGCTGGGAGGTGGGATGGGGAGAAGGCATCCCAGCCCAGGGCAAGGGTTGCCCCTGGCCCACCTGTGTCCGCCTCCAGCCTCAGTGGGGTGGATGGAGGTGCAGATCCTGGCGTCGCTCACCTCTTCCATGTCGCCTCACAGACACACCCAGAAACGGTGTTTCCCCCGAGGCCTGGGAGACCGCAGCCAGCTGAGCGGACACACGGGAACCAGCACCCCGAGGCCTCCGAGTGCTCGGAGAGGGAACGGCTGAGCACAGTGCAGGCACCCGGAGGCCTTCCCTGAGGGGCACCCTCTCCTTCTATTTTATGTGATTTTGTGTATTTAAAATATATTTTGTTTTTTATTTACTTATTTAAGAATTTTTTTATTTTAAAAATGTTTTTAAAGGGAGAGGGAGAAATAGAGGGAAATATTGATCGGCTGACTTCTGAACATCCCCATGGGTGGGAGCCCGTAACCCTGATGGGGAATCAAACCGGCTACCTCTCGGTGCATGGTGATAGGACGTCCACCGAGCCACACTAGCTGGTCTAGAAAATACATATATTTTAAAAAATATATATTTTATTGATTTTTTTTTTTTTTTTTTACAGAGAGGAAGGGACAGAAATAGACAGAAACATCCATCTGCTGCCTCCTGCACTCCCCCACTGGGGATGTGCCTGCAACCAAGGTCCATGCCCTTGACCGGAACCGAACCTGGACCTTTCAGTCCGCAGGCCAACGCTCTATCCACTGAGCCAAACCTGCTAGGGTGAAAATATATCTTTAAACGCAGAGCCCCGAATGCCCTTAAACGCTGAGCATCTCATTGCCCAGGAGCCATTGTCTCAGTCTGTTCGTTGTGCCCCTTTGGAAAAGTCACCTTAGGTGCGGCTGTCCCCGGGCCGGGCTCCAGGCGGGAGGCGCTGCCGTCCAGCCCTCAGGGGAGTGCACTCTCAGGCTCAGAGCCTGGCCTCACTCTTGGACTTGAGATGATTCATGAGAATATCCTGTGCTGCCCCCTGGAGAGCCGCTGGGGACTCGAACCGCCAGACAGAGCACAGCGGAGGGAGGGGCCCGGCGGCTGTCCCCCCAGGTCTGTGGGCTCAGCGGGGAAGCCTTGAGGTCCTTCCAGCCGGAGGCCGGACTTGGCCTCGCCCTGGTCGCCTCCAGAAATAGGATTTGGAGCCTGTCCCCGTGTGACATCATGGATCCCACAGCTCGGCAGGAAGAGCGCGCTTCCTGCAGCTGCCGGCGGGAGGCGGAGGGTGTACTTCTCTGTGCTCCTTCACGAGGGAATGTGGGTGCCGATGTGAGATCGCTCCTGCGCCCCAAAACCACAGCCCGCGGCCCGAGCGG